CCCCCCCAGCACCGTCCATCAGAGGGCCCCCCCCAGCACCGTCCATCAGAGGGCACCCAGCACCGTCCATCAGAGGGCCCCCCCCCAGCACCGTCCATCAGAGGGCACCCAGGACCGTCCTCCAAGGGCCCCTAGCACTCTTCATCAGGGACCCCCGGCGTGGCCCACCAGAGGACCCACTCCGCACAGGACCAGCAGCCTGGGACGTCCACGGGTGTAGGCACAGGGGACAGGAGCCGGGTGGGGGAGAGAGGGCGGCAGACTTGGAGGGGGGTGAGTAGGAACTCAGGTGTTTACGTTTGGCTTTAGAAGTAGTCTCTCTTCCCTGCAATGTTCTCTACTCTCCGAATTTCTGTGTAAAGTACAGACTGTGAGCCAGGTTCTGAGTTTGGGGCTCAGGTCCTGGGTGCGAAGTGTCCCCCTAGACAGGCTCACACAGAAGAGCTCGGGGTGAGGGTGCAGCCGGGCAGACAGAGCAGGGCCCGGGCGCCGGCAGCACAGGACGGTCTCCGGGCAGCGCACCCGCACCGGCTCCCGCCGCGGTTCCAGCAAGTACCGGGAGATTCTCCGCTTTGTTTATTTTAGTTGACATTCTGCTTTAGCTGGGGAGAAAGCTGTCATAATGAATAAACATTTCTGTCCGGACATAATGTGGGTAAGGAATGGGCTTGAATCCCAACATGGCATCCTGCAAGAGGTGAGGGAAAGCTTAATAAAGTGAGTTTGTTTTCACTTTGGTAAACGTAGAAACAGCCACTCCGGGGTCCCCAGCAGCCAGGGTCAGAGTCAGCACGCTGGGGGCAGGCCGGCCAGGACTTCCAGATTCGCTGAGGGAGGCGCACATCCCACCACCGCTGGTGGGTGGCCCTCGGCGGGGACAGGGCCCTGAAGTCACAGACCCTCCCGTCTCATCACACTCTCAGGCAGCATCCCTACTAGAAAAGGCTCCCACTGACCTGCTCCAGTCATGAAAACATAATTAGGGTTTAAAAATCCCCAAAGGGCTCCCTCCACCCTGATGGCTCCTCGGATAATCCATTAAAACCCGGCCAGCACTGGGGGCCTGTGCAGCCCGGCGGCTCCCAGGGAGGAAGGAAAGCCGTCTGTGCTAGTGTCTGTGCGCGGGTCCTAGCAGGAAAAGATACCCCACGCACTTTTGTTGAATGTTCTACAGAACCTTCCCTGGCCTAGGACCCGGCACAAAGTGTGTTTCCAGCACAATCTGCTGAAGGAAAAGGTTCCCAAAGCCTTCTGCAGAACGGGTTCACAGGCAGTCAGTCCCCATGGAGCAGCACCCAAACTCGACTGTGGGGAGAAGCAGCCTGCTTTGCACGTGGTACTCAATGATACATCGAAGGGAAGGTTCCAAAGTTTCAGTTAGAAATTCCATCGTCGTGTGTGACTCCTTAAATGGCAGAGAGGAATGTTCTCATCTGCCCTGCTAGGTAGGACCCTGCGTTCAGGCGAGCCGAGCCCCAGCATTTCCCATCACAAGATGGGCAGAAATGCCTGCGACGTGGCAGCACTGCGACAGGCGTGGCTGAACCGACCACACGTGGCTCTCCCGCCTCACCCCCGAGTGCAGCTCTCTGAGAAGCTTCTCCTCACACACTTCCCACCAGCCACTAAAGGGTGAACCTCCTGCAGTCGCCAGAGTCCAGACCCATTTCCGACAGCAGACACACCCAGGCTGGAATTTTACACACACGGCACCTGTTATTTCAATGATGCAGAACTGGACTTGCCTTTCCCACCCCACACTCCATGCCCAGGGCCACTTCCCGACACCGTGAGCGGCTCCAGCCTTGTCGTGAGCAAGCAGCCGGTGTCAGAGGCAGGGCCCGGGTGTGCCTGTGAGGCACAAGGGCACACACACTGCACCCCGTCCGTCTAGGATGCGGGCGGCCGCAAACCTGGGATGCACATCAGTGACCTGAGCTGCATCCAGACAACCTCAGATCACAGGAAAAGAGGCCGTGTGCTCAAGGCTTGAAGACAAATGTAAACACAAACACAAATATAAAAGTTCACACTTCAGCTTCAAATTTCATTGTGTGGGGGTGGAGGGAGGGAGAACAGGCAGACTCAGATGTGCTGATTCATAAAGGTTGAGAAGGTCTGTTCAGTTTACATTTCACCAAATGGGAGATGCATTTTCCCCAACTTTGCCTTCAAAACTGAGCCCAGGGGTCCCGCAGCCGGAAGAGAAAGAAAACCTGCAGCACCCTAAGCTAAGCTGCGTTAAGAATTTTGTAAACCCAAATGGCGAATGTGATTTCTATCCTCCACTAGCAGGTGTTAAAACCCGGGAGCAGAAACGTCCTTCCCGTGGGTTCACATGCTTCCCGGGACAAGGCTGGTGTCCAGCTGCTGGGCCAGGGCTCGCTGGCTCTCCCTCCGCAAGTGCGAAGTGCTCGGGAGACTCAGTCCCTCCCCTTGGAATGGCATTATCACGGGAGAATGAGTGCTTGGTAACAGTTCCTGACGGTCACGGGGATTGACGAGGACGCCAAACACTGGCAAGCGCTGGCTTTACATTATCCATGATCCGCGAGTCACTTACGCAGTGTACCATCAACAGCCACAAGAACAGATGATCCAAGAGATGTCATGATGGATACCGCGGGGGAGTTCTGTCTTCAGTGAGACGTTTAACTACTAAATCTGAACCCAATCTAACTATCCAGGTATCTCAGAATGAAATCATTTTGCTAATAAATACACTTCTAATGCTTTCAATTGCCACAAGTTAAAGCATAACGTCTTTGTAAAAATATCACTTTAATTAAAAAAAAATAGCTTTAAAGAGCTATGTGTAACAATTAGAATACCAATTACTTTCTGGCAACTAGTATTGCTGGAAGGTTCAGTCACGCGCCTCACTCTATCCCAAGTACTGAGACTGCACGGGAAAGTCGGGAATGAAACTCTGGGCCACATGGCCTTCAGGTCCGCACAGCTTCCTGAGACCTAAACAAGCGCTCAGAACAGGCACACCCCCTGCCCGTACACAGCAAAGCTGCCTTTCTAGGGACGGTGTGGCCACAGTGCATGGAAGCAGTCACATGGAGTCTCCCTCCCATCACTAAGAGTTCGTGGTTTATTTAAACAGAAGTAGCCAGCTATTTATTGCAGGCCTAACAACATGTTGCACAGCCACTTAGACTCTCCCTGCCACTCCGAGCTTACAGTTATGCATGAAACATGTACCCTGTGAGCCGCTTGATGGTTTCCTGCAAATAGGGACTAAATTCTGTAACCAAAGCATGTCTTCCCACTGGCCAAATCTACTTAGTGAGTCATGCTAGAAGCATAACATAAAAGAAAGTACAGTAAAACCTTGGATTGCGAGTAATGTGTTCTCAAGACGAGCCAACGTTTCTAATAAAGTTTAACTTGATAAACAAGTGAGGTCTTGCAACACAAGTCCTACGTGACGACAAGCATCACATGATCAAAACTGAGCCGATGGTTCTTCTCTCTCTCGCTCTTGCCGCAGGACTGTGGGTGATCGTCAATGCAATGTCACATTTCCACGAAATTCCTCAAAAGGAGGCAAAAGCCAGTGTCATTGGATAGGTTCCTTGTTAAAGCTTCACGAGAAAAGGTTCCACTGAGCCAACGGATAGCAGTGATCCCGTGAGTGATTGTGAAAGTCATCCCACAC